ATCTTACATGAGGACTACAATGTCAGCTTACTCAACTTGAGTGAAGCACTCAACACCAGAAAGGCTTTTGACATCGATGAAGTCCCATGAGCCTTCATGTGGCCCTTCTTCTTGCAAGAGTTTTTTTCTGTTTTTGAGCACGAGACATCTCCGTAGCCTCCGGAAAGCCTGGAGCTAGGGGCGCTTCTTAGTACTGTATGTTGAAAACAAATAACATACCAAATGAACTCCAAGCCCCAGTCCGCAGCAGTTTCATGGTATCTTGCGCTCTACGCAGCATGTCGGTTCCAGGGGCCGTCCCCTAGGTAGCGCATGCGAAGGGGGGCTCCCCCCCCCTTCTCCCAGCCGACTCTGAGCTGGGTCGCGTGCTACGCCAATGACCCTTTTGCCGCTGCGAGAGCACTTTCAGGCACGGGTTCCGCCTTGTAAGGATTGTAGCATTTTATGGTCTATATTGGGGTCCCCCCATATTTTTGAAAAGTACTGTACAATACTCTATCCCTTTGATCCCTACTACCCCTCTGACCGCCCCTGCTGAATGCGAGGGCGACCCAGCCACTGCTTCGAGGTTAAAGGGACTTACCGTAAGGTAGGAATCCGGGTTTTGGTTTTGGGGTTGAGGGGCTGAGTATGCATATTGATTGATCACCCTCTATGTGCCAGTCTTGAGTCCTATCCCCTTAATGACCCTCCCCAAGTAAGAGGTACCCGAAACCCTAAACCCTAAACCCCAAGTAAGAAGTTTCCATGACTTCAGATGGGTTTGTGCGGCGACCAGTCGTCCAGCAAAGACCTCTGCACCACCCTCACCCCATGTAATGGATTATTTTGGGATAATGGAACAGAAAATGGAAACTACTGTAGCATAATAGGGTCTAAATTGGGGTGTATATATATATATATAGGGCTTATATTCGGGGTATATTGGGATAATGGAAAAGGGAAGCTACAATTTTTGGTTTTGAGGCAGTGCAAGATGTCCTCTATCAACAGTAGATCAGTAGGGTGTACGGGCATCGTGCCTAAGGTTTTGTTCGTCTGGGAAGTTTCCCTAAAGCCTCAACCCCTGAACCCTTAAACCGTAATACCCTACGACCCGAAGCCCTAAATCCCTAAACCCCTAAACTCTAAAACGCCTAAACCCAACCCCCGTCAGTGCTTAGAGCTCAATGTGCGAAGTTCCAGTTAATGCACCCCAACCGCAATACTTAAAAGGGATAGGTTTGAACAGAGTTTGGCCTTTTTCACTTAACCTCGACCTCGAAAAAAACATTCCAATGCCAGAAAAGAATTAATGCTTCTTGGCCTCCCAAGCTAACCCTAGTAACTCAAAACGCCCTACGTGTTGCGTTCACCACGGCTCCGAGAATGACGAGGAAGGAGCCTCTCAACATAGAGGGCCCCTAGGACCCCACGGATCAAATGAAGGCCCCGTACCCTAAACCCTAAAGCCTAAATCCTAAGCCCTAAACCCTAAACCCTAAAGCCTAAATCCTAAAGCCTAAATCCTAAACCCTAAACCCTAAACTCTAAACCCTGAATCCTAAACCCTAAAGGGTTTAGGATGTTGCTCGGGAAGCTCCCAGTAGGTTATGGGAATCCAGGCAAAGTCCCTACGTGCTGCAGGAATACACAAGATCGAGTCTGCGATGGATCGCAGTCCATCATGCATCATCTCTTTGTTGGGTCAATGTGCTCTCTGAGTTTGCATAGGAATGTGTGTCAGACAACATAATAGGAGCCCCAGAGGCCTTCCCAAAGGCTTTTCGAAACAGGCTTGAAAGGCTTTGGTAGCTTTGGCACCCCCTTCGCAATTCACAGAATTTACAAAGCACTGAACCCTAAACCCTAAACCCCCCCAGTGGTCCGATTTCGCTAGGCGCCTCCGTTGTGGACCGTCCCGGAGAAGCCTGGCGAAGCCGAGGTGGCCGGGAATGACAGGGGGGTTTAGGGTTTAGGGTTACCCATATGGATAATGGAAAATAAAATGGATACTACCATAGTATATTGGGGTTATATTAGGGTCAGTTTAGGCGGTGCAATCCTCATAACTCTCCGTAGGATAGGCCTTGGCATTTCTGGGTGCATCTTCGCTATAGGGATGTAGAGATTTTTGCCTGGCACAGGAAAGGTTGTCAAGATTTGCTGATATTTGGCGGCTGGATTTAGAACTCGAAGCCCTAAACGCCAAACCTGAATTTCTGGGGTGGAGGAACCCTGAAATCTGTGCTGGTCCTCATTGGACGTGAGTTTGGGCTGAGTTGTTTTGCCCCTGCCTAATCACGCATTTCCGGACTTGGCGGATGGAAAAGAGGGGCTGAACAAAAAAAGTCTGAATGCAGCAGGAATGTATACACATACACGCGTGCGGATGTGCATATGTGTGCGTGTACACATAGATGCATGCATACATGGTAATCTGGTCTTGTTTCGGCACGGGGGCCCTCTTCCAAGCCTGTGCAAAAGATCTGGAACTGCAACTTCAAAGCCCAAAACCATACGTCCTTAACGCTAGCACCCGAATCCAATCCAGTTTCCCGACTCATGATGGCCATCCCTAAACCTTAAACCCTAAATCCTAAACAGTAGTTTCCATTTTCTTTTCCATTTTCCCTCTATGACCCTATATTATCCTTACATAGCCCTATCATTCCGTCCTTGGGCCTCAAAGTTGAACCAGCAGGTTAGGCCATAACTTGCGTCAGGAAATATTAGGGCTTAGGGTGTGGGGTTTAGGGTTTACGGTTTAGGGGTTACGGGCCGAACCTAAACCCTCACACCGAACGAAAATACTCTGCATGCTGAATCTCAACTCCTCAGCCCCTAAACTAAACCCCCTAAACCTTTAACTCCAATAACCCAACATCCCGCAACACCCCAAACACCCTAAAACTCCAGACCTCTTAACCCTAAACCCTACACCCCTCAACCCCTAAACCTCCCAAACCCCCCCCGTAGGTTCACATCTTGCCGGGCTTGATCTGGCTACCATGCAGTGAGGTTGAGCAGGTGCCCTGTGGGAAGAGACAGCCAGGTCTAGGGTTCACGGTTTAAGGTTTAGGTTTTGGGGCAGTAATATCAGGGTTGCAACTATATTATCGAACCACCCTATCAGGGATAATCGAGAATCAGCTGGAAAAGAATTTGGGAGATGAAATGGACACCTTTCAAGCATTAGGGCTTTAGAGGCGCTGTTAAAATTAAGCTTACCAAGGGACCATGGGTGGGATCCTGTTCTCCAAGGCAACTGTTTTGCCTTGAAGCCCTGGGGTTGAGCGTTTAGGGTTTAGGGTTTAGCGTTTAACGGTCTAGGGTTTAGAGTTCAGGGGTATTACCCCCAGTAATGGAGAGTCAGAGGAAAAAGCGTGGAAAATTAAATGGGCTGTTGTTAGTTTAGGAAAGTCTCTAATCTATTCCCTAATAGGAACCCAAGCCCATGAATTATGTGAGGAATCTGTCCCTACCTGGACCTCAAGAAAGTATGTGAGATAATGGCCTTTATGACTATTTTTGTGGGTTTAGGGCTAGTATTTTTCATGTCTTTGGTGTTCAGCTAGACCTGAAAACTCTGAACCCTAAACCCCAAACCCCCAAACCCTAAACCGATGGTAATTCTTTCTGGCCAAGGGGGGGGCGTTCATCCCAGGGTTCGGCGTTTGGGGGTTTAGGGTTACAGTCGCCCTTAAGTAGATAGAAGATTACGGTATATTATTGGGGTAATATAGGGATAATGGAAAAGAAAATGGAAACTACTATTTAGGGTTTAGGGTTTAGAGTCACCCTGAAGCAGATAGAAGACGGAATTCCCCAAACCCATAATAAGATCCCCATATACCCTAGATTGTACCTACTTAAGTGGGGCTATGAGGGTTTAGGGCAAGGAATTGGAAAAGGACCTGCCGGTTACTACTATTATTGGTAATATTCTTATTATCATCACCATTGTCAAGACGTTAGGCTCGCGGGTTTAGGGTTTGGAGAGCAGGATATAGGTTAGAGGATTGAGGATGAAGGCTTGCAGGTTTCAGGGTTGAACGTACTTCGCGGATGTGTGGTTCAGGGGTCAGTGTTGCGGACTGAGACCCTGAACCCTAAATCCAAAACCCTATTTGGTTATGAGGCTGCAATCATCCCTTCAACCCATCCTCTCTGGGACGAATAATGCGCAGGTTGCTTGTTTTCGCTCTTAGTTGGGCACCTAGACTCAAAAACCAAAACCCAAAACCCAAATCCTAAACCCAAAGCCCTACACCCTAAACCCTATTGTATGTACCTTACGCTGTTCGACGCATTTGGCATTCCCTCACTCCTTTTCTCCTGTTCTGCTTTGAGAGATCATAGTTGTGACTGCGTTCAAAACATGAGGGGATAATCATGGCCCGTAAACCCTGAACCCTACACCCCAAAAACCATAAATAATGTAGTAGTTTCCATTTTTCTATTATTAGCCTACGTACAACTCTGAACCTCATATGGATGGTCCCTGTGGCCATGTGGGCCACTATATGAGCTATAGTTTAAATTCCTGACAAGGGGTTATGAAGGGGATTATATAAAAGATTCTTATTAGGGGTTATTAGGGGGGAAACAAGGAGTTTAGACTGTAGCTCATACGTTCCCAGTTTCGATTTCATATTCCATTTTCTTGCTCGGTTGATTCTCCAATACACCGTTTATGTAGGCCTCTGAGTTACCCAAATCCTATCACGCCCCCTTATATATTTCTTTACAAGCTGCTATAGTCAACGGGGACGGAGAGACCCTCAGGTGACTCCTTCCAAGCGACCAGTAGCCCTTGCAGCAGGCACGGGCAACAATTTTGCAATTTTTTGCTGCTAGGCTTTTGCGGTCTTCCTCCTCTTGCCAACTGCCTGTCATATTGCTTTTTGTAGGGCTGCGACATGCAAAGTAGGACCCACATGGGCGTTTCCAGAAAAATATATAGACCCCAAAAAAGGGTCCCCCCAAGTTTTGCAAGACCCCATATTTTCAATCAACCGATGCCAGGTGTGCAGCATACCTGTGTCGTGGATGCTGTGGCTGGAGTTATCTGTTTCGGCGGGAATGCCTGTGGCCAGCGCGACCTTCCAGAGAAGCTGGGACCAGTGAGGCGGGGGCGGAACTCTGGGGATTGATCTGAACACGCGTTAAGTGCAGTGGCTTGGACTGGGCTGCTTTTAAGGAACCTAAGTAAGTTGCTATGGCATGGGTGAATAGTATGTAATAGGGTTTCCCCATCATTGTAACTTATTTAAGGTTCCTTAGCAGCGACCCAGTTATTAGATGGAAGTGGGATTTTGGCATTCTCTGGGCCCCTGGTGACCCTCAGGTCAATAGCGGCAGGCTTCCAGCACACTTGTATCATCACAGAAGAAGGTGATCTGGTATGCTTTGGATTGAACGCCTCTGGCCAGTGCGACCCACCCACAGACTTGGGCAAGGTTTTGGCCGTGTCTGCTGGGTTCCAGCACACTTGTGTCATCAACGCCCGCGGAAAGCTCGTCTGTTTTGGCAGCCAGCGGAATGGTCGCTGCCGCGTACCCAACAACCTTGGTCCAGTTCTTGCTGTCTGCACCGGAGTCGGCCACACCTGCGCTATCACCGTTGGAGGCCATCTGCGCTGCTTCGGGAACAATGAGGCCGGGCAGTGCGAGGTGCCTGAGAATCTGGGACTTGTCAAGGCAGTTGCAGCAGGCCAGAGGCACACTTGTGCTCTACAGACCGACGGTGTACTGCGCTGTTTTGGGGGTAATGAGGATGGCCAGTGCAATGTGCCTGAGGACCTGGGCCGTGTCATTGCAGTTGCAGCAGGGGTTGCGCACACATGCGCCTTGACAGCCAAAGGGCGCTTGGTATGCTTTGGGAACAACACTGCCGGGCAGTGCAATGTGCCAGACCACGGACCTTTTGTTGCCGTGGTGGCAGGCTACCAGCACACTTGTGCAGTGCGGGCCACTGGCGAGATCGTATGTTTTGGAGCCAACGCGAGCGGACAGTGTGAGGTACCCACATGCCTGGTTAACGCAGGTTGAGGTGGGTGCCGGTAGGACTTGCATTCTGCGTTGAGCGATGAAAGTAGTGGTAAGAAATCTTTTTTGAGTGCAAGAATCCACCCAACAATTCCCGGTAGACATGTGCTGTGCCCCAGGCCAGCAGGGACAGTTGGAACTGGATTCTACCTTGCATAGTGTTTGAAGCGACAGGCGCACGCTTTTTTCTCGAGTTAGATAATGTCTTGCCACCCCAGAACTTGTGTTGGCAGTGGTCCATAACCCGAACTCAAGATTTGTAGGCAAGTCCCCCTTAAGTAGATAGAACATGGCTTTGAGTGAATTATAGTAAGATCCACATATACCCCATATACTAGGTACTTAAGGGGGACAATAAACATCGCGAGATGGGCTGGCAAGCCTCTGCAGGTCTGCCAGCATAAATGCATCTGCCTGGCCTATGATGGCTGATTCTAGAGGCCCATTATTTAAGCCCGTGTTCAAGTAGTTCAAAGTCGCACAGGGTAGCTGTTCATAGAATATGGTACTGATTCGGGTACTGACTTAACGACTTCTGAAATACTGGGCCTAGTCTTACCTGTGCTTAGTAGGCAATAAGGAATACATTTCTTGTATAACCCGTATATGAAAAGCCTATATGATAGATTCCCGTATTCCTACTAACCACAAATCCTAAACCCTACATATTCCCATATTCCGACTAACCCCTGAAAAAAAAGCTCTAGCCCCAAAATTCTGGTCAGGCTGAATAATTATACGAAGCCATAGGGGCGTTTGTCAACCACGGGTCTACAAAGTATGCACCTTGGGTGCCTAGGCCTTAGGGTTTAGTGTTTAGGGTTTCGGGTGCCCTCACACAGTAACAGTCTGCAGTGCAATAAGGGTAAAGGGCTATATATACTTATTTGCTATCTATTGTCCAACTGTTACTGAGTGGGGGCAGTACCCAAGGTCTACACAAGGAATGAATGGAACCCACGCGTCACTGCTGCAAAAGATGGCTGTGGCCACCGCCATGCTTTTTGAGGTGTACAGCATGTACAGAGACCAGGGCCTTCACAGCAACAAAGTGACGCACCAGAAATGCGAAGAGAAAAGAGCCATGTCCCTAAACCCTAAACCCTGAACCCTAATCAGGAAGAGGATCCCTCGATCAGAAGACAATAGCTTCAGGACATGAAAGCCGGTTTGGCGCATTGCGACTCGATGATCACAAGCAAGCTGATGATAGCATGTGCAATAAAGTCAAGTACATTATAGTAGTTTGCATGTTCGGGGTTATATAGGGATAATGGAAAAGAACATGGAAACTACTATTTAGGGTTGAAGGTAACCAAGAAAAGATTGCAGGTGCGAGGCTCGCAGCCGGCCCTCTAGGAAGAGCCTAAACCCGGACCCTAGAGCCTATATAGCCCTATACCGTAAACCCTATATAACCTTAAACCCTAAGCCCTAAATGACCCTAACCCTCAAGGGAGCTTTCCGAACATGACGAGTCGCTCCTTTTGGGGGTGTGTCCCCCTTGCCTGGGACTGTATTCTACTCTGGCATTTTAGCAGGCACCTATTTCCCAGCAACTCTTAGGGTTTAGCGCTTTGAGTTGCGCCTCAAAGACAGAGTTGTTGGGCTTTGGGTTCAGGTGCCGACTCTCAAACCCCAAAGCCAATGCTCTGAGATCCGTCAAATTGAATGGGAGTTGAGGATCATGTGATGTCCAACAACCTGTATATATATATATGTATATATATATATACATATCAAGCAGCTAATAGCATCAGTCATACCTCCTGAGACCAAAACCCTTGTAAGGTTATGAGCCCTAACCCTAAACCCTAAAACACCCTAAACCCTAAACCTCAAACCCTGAACCCTAGACCTTAAACCCTAAACCCTAAACCTCAAACCCAAAACCTCAAACCCTAAACTCTAGACCTGAAACCCTAAAAACCCTAAGGCCAAGAATCAGAAGCATCCCAAGCCTGAAATGCGCGAAGTGTCCCTTGTCCCCCTCCCCTTAATTGGGATTATAATATATTGGGGTTATATTTAATAGGGATTATAATATATTTGGGTTATATAGGTATACTAATATATTGGGGTTATATAAGTATACTGGAAAAGAAAATGGAAACTACTATTTAGTGTTTAGGGTTTAGTTCCTCGACTTTCTGAGACCCCTTAAACAGTGGTTCTAGGGGATTTAGGGTTTGAGGTTTAGGGTTTAAGTTTTAGGGGTTTAGGGTTTAAGGTTTAGGGGTTTAAGGTTTAGGGTGCCCCGCCTAAGCTGCGGTACGTACGCCGTGATCGTCAGCATTCGGAGGGTTTTCTGACTGCGAGGAGCTGGTGAACACCCAGCAGCTTGTAGATGCGAAGCGCAACGAAGCCGCGACCGAAGAGCATCTTCAGGTGCTCAGGTGTAGGCTTTAGGGTTTAGGTTTTAGGGTTTAGGGTTCAGGGTGATTTGGGGACCCCAGAAATGTGGGGATCCCCCGTTCTGGGATTCTGGGGGTCCCTAGACTATGGGGTTGCTGTATATTGACGTCTACATGTTGGGCCTCTTACTTACAGAAGTTCCTGGGTGGCCCTCCCAAGCCTAGGGGACGTAGTAAGTAGGTTATTTATGCCACCTTCACAACCTACTTACTGAGCCAGCCCCCTACACCTCAAACCCTAAACCAGAGTTCCAGGGGGGCTGGAGGGGTTACGGGCTTGAAGGCGGCTGAAGGTGTGGGACTCCAAGGCTTGGCATCTGGAAGGCTACTTTTGGGGGCAGAGCGTGCCTAAACCCTAAACCCTAAAACGGGGACATGGAAGACTTGAAGCATGCCTTGAGTCCGCTGAAAGCAACATGCAAGCCAAGAAGGAGCCCCGCAAAGGCTCCTGTCCTTGGGCTTAAGGGTGTAGGGTTTAGAGTGTAGGCTTTAAGGGTCATGCCAGTTTCCAGGTTTTTGGGGGAGTGTAAAGTCCGTGATGCCATGTGTTGGCATTTGCCGTTTGGCATCTCAGGCTTGGAGCCATAAACCCTAAACCCTAGATCCAAAACCCGAAGTCCTAAGCCAAGAGCTCTAAAGCTTGGTGGTAGTGGGGGTGGTTGGAAGAGAACATGGAAACTACTATATCATGGGAGGTTATTTAGAGGGCTGCTTTCAGGTTCCATTACTGGATTGCCTGGTCGTGGGTATTGGGGAGTATAGAGTTTAGGGTTTAGGGTGTACGGGGTTTAGGATTTGGAGTAAGCGTGCTATAGGGTTTAGGATTAAGGGTTTCTAGGGTTCAGGTAGGTTTTAATTTTGGGCCTGATTTGGGGAAGACATAGCGGTTCTAAGGACTAGACAAAAGACCTGATGGATGACTATGCTGGGGTCCTGTTAAGGTCAAGAAGTGTCTAGGGTCTGTCGATTGCGCCTGCGTGACACCTAGAAATCATGGTGCGTAACGTTCCGACAACGAGTAATACAAATCACCATTCGAGCTATAGTCTAAACTCCTTAAAGGGCGTCCTATAGGGACTATTGAGGTGGCTACTATAAGTGTTATTAAGGGGTATATTAGGAGTTTAGGCTATAGCTCATGTCATGGTTGTTTTTCCCAGTACTCTCGGCGCTCTGGTGTGTCAAACCTCCTGTGACTAAACCCTAAACCCTAAACCCTAAACCTTAAACCGCGTTGTTCCAGTTGTGCAGGCCAAACACAACTCTTCAGGAGCACACGCAGTGGGCACTGCTAATCTCTGTGATCTTCACTATGGCCCCCGTCAGTCATGGTCAATTACAGATTGCTAAACTCCATTCCGGCATTGTTCCTTTGGGGTTCTTAATGGAGTCCCCCACGTTGCGCCTTTCAATGCCTTTGTTTTTCTTGCCATGTTTTGCAAAGGCATCTGCATTGCACACCAGGGACTCTGCACACCCAAACCCTAAACCCAAACCCTTGTTGTAGCAATGCCTTGTGCCTGACCCTCTTCCAGGCGCTAACGAATCGGTCTCACCCTCAAGACTGTTTTGCTGTCAGGGAGCTTAGATCAAGTTAGAATATGGCTTTGGGTATAATACATATTGGTTTAGGATTTAGAGTTTAGGATTTAGGGTTTAGGGTAATATAGGGATAGTGGGAAAGAAAATGGAAGCTACTATAGTATATTTGGGCTATATAGAGAATATTCATCACATGTTGGATACATAGTAAATAACATGGTTTCCGGGGCTTGGGATTCTGACCATGGTTGCTGAGCTTGGGCTTCACAGAGTGTACACTGCTATGCAATTCGGGTCTGGGAAAAAATAAGAGACATGCGATAGTCACAGGGTCCTATTCAAGAGGACTTTCGACGGATAATCGCATCCCCCTAAGAAGCAAGTGCACCCGTAAGGTCATATGGGTGGTTGTCAAAATTATGGTCCCTTTTCGGATCCCTATTCTCATACGGCACCTCATATTTAGGGTACCCAAAAAGGGACCATAATTTTGACAACCACCCATATGTCTGCGCTTGAGGCGTCTTACGTTTGAAAGGTTCAGGATTCAGGGCTTAATTAGGTCTCAGGGTGCCGCGCCATACTGCCATAAGAGTAATAGTACTAACAATAATAGTAACAACAGCAGTTGTAGTTATAAGGGCAAGAAGTATAATACTCGCAATAATGACAGCAGTGGTAGTACTGGTAAGAAAAAAATTAACAACAGCATCAATAATAAAGTATTAATAGCAGTACCATGGCCACAAGCAACGTGCAAGCTGAAATCTGGTCCTCGCATCATGTGTCGACTAGCTTTCCAGACGGAACTGCACATGAGAGTATCTGGAAACAGTGGTTTCAGGTTAGGGTTTAGGGTGTAGGGGGACCCCCAGATAGACCTTGTCATATTTTGAGATTTAAATCTAGGGAACTCAGAGTGTTGCAAGACTCCATCCATACCCAGGAATACGGAAGCATTCCCCCACTCGTCTTCAAGCACCAGTAAGTTGAGGGCCTAGTATACCAAAAGTACTGTACATGCCAGTCTAGTGGGGTTTAGGATTT